ACGTTTTGTACACACCACCCAACCGAATTTACAACACCACCTCGAACAGCGCCCACGAAGCTATTCAAGTTTCAGCTCAAGTAGGTGCAAACACGGCACGCATGGAGATCGCGAACCAACCGGAGACTGGATGTCCAGTCGACATGGTAACGCAGGTATGTCCTTGCGCCTATCACTTCAAGTACGCAAACTGCGTGCACCGCATTTTTGCCATGCAGGAGCGAGCACAAATCGACAGTAACGGCCATGTGTAAGCGCATCTCTCCTCCATAAAGCTACCCATTAGCAATGGACCGTTGCTGCTTGTGGTACACGTAGACGGCACTTCCCGCTAACTGAAAAAATGGCAGCCTGCCACTTGCCCTTTCGGGTAAGTATTCATAAATACTGGAAGGTTGGGGCTCGTCCGCAGGTATTTTCACCTCGAGTAGATAGCCTTCTTGCTTGGACAGGTGCTTCGGTGTGATGGGGCGCAATGTGTGTCCCGGAAACACTGCATAAAGGGAGGGATTCTTTTGCTTCGCCGGCGTTCTGCGTGCGTCTGAGAGGGCAGGATTTCGAGTGCGTGGGACACATGTGTTTGTGTGACCCACACACAGTCTACCGGCAATGTCTTGTCACAGGTGTGTGTCTATCATGCATGTGTTATTCACAGGTTTGTGTGATCCCCAGGTTCATTTGTGATTTTCATATTTTCTCCGCTCCAAACAAGTTGCGTGTAGCACAAGCAACTTTCAGATCACATCACTACACACAGCCTACACACAACTTAGTATATTCCCACACATTACGTCACAAGTCCCAAATTTCCTTGATTCGAGGCGCCAACCCCGGATGGTACTACAACGAATTAGATTGCAGGAAGCATTACAAGCCTATTTGATCGGGTATAAAATGATATCTTCCGGATATATTTTCAGTACAAATGTGAAACCTATACTACTGGACATTTTAGCAAGTTCTCTTCGGTTCTTCACGTGCCGAATGAAGCGGCGAAATAGGTCAAATCGCGGTGTTTTCGAGATATTGGTTTCCAGCTAAAAATCGGAATCTTGCCGCTTCCAACAATTTGCTAGTGCGGTGATTCTGCGGTGAGTGCAAGTAGACCATGCTTTGAGGTAGCCTTGTATTGACCTTTGAGTGTAAATGCTAGCTTCGCAGACTTTAACGGCTCGCGATGCGATACAATCTACTGGGCCAAAACTGACAGCAAAAATGCAATCATAAACGGAATCCATAAAACACTCTATCTGCTTATTGTTCTCTAGGTACTTCCTCTTGGAGATCTGATGATCTGCGTTTTGGCTGCCTTCTGGGCTAGTTTACACTGTTTTAATTCGTCGACGTTACCAATTGTACAAACGAATCCTTAGAAGAGACAGAGTAGTCACTCTTCTTCTTGAACTCGCGAAATGTCCCCGGCGATTGCACTGCTGATGTTAAGTCCTCTTGAGTTCAAGCAGCTTAGACTTCGACACGCCCACAAAGTGAAAAGGCGTGGCTAGCAATCCAGCGAGAGTTTGGGACCAATACCGATATCCCTTAACTATCAGATACAGACAAGCCGACGCAAAAATATTCTTTAAAATGCTACTTTTGCTCAACGTTCAGCTACGGCTAAAGGTTGAGCGAGATAACATCGATCGAGTTGCAGTACCGTGGAATGAATCCGTTGAGGGCTGTCCATACCTACAGGTATTCCCAGTATTAACAAGTATCCTGGGAGAGAAGCTAGAAGCGCTGTATGGACAGCCTCACAGATTAATCCGTTCCAAACAGTTGCCTGTAGTAAGCAACGTTCAGAATACATCACGACACACAAAATTGCATAACTTAGTAGCACGTTAGTCGCCAAAGTTGCTAACGCGTTCTTACACACCTTTTCAAAACAAATATCACATGCGTCTAAGCAGACTCGTGAATCACGATTCATGATGCGTTATATACTATCATCTTGCTCCAAAGCCCACTCCTTATTGTCGTGAATTTAGCGTTCAATCACGATTGATGATGCGTTAAATACTATCATCTTGCTCCAAAGCCCACTTGCAATTCCATCCTTATTGTCGTGAATTTAGCGTTCCGCTTGGACGATTCACTGCGGAAACCAATTCAAAGAGAGCTATCGATACGACCCTATTCTGCAACTGCTGCGCCATTACTCAAAAACCGAGGACACTTTTTTTGTATAAACTAACGCTAATCTTTTTTTTTACGAGAATAAAGGCGTTGTCTAATCTAGTAGCGGTGTAAGGCTGCTATTCTTCGCCGAAGAAGCAGCTCTCACGTTTTCACTTTAACACGGTAAGATGCCTAATTTCGCCTACATGGTGCCGTGGTTGAGCGTCCAAGTTTTTTTTTAGTACTGTATGAGCCTGAATATACAAAGAGTTAAGAGTAGCTTTGGTTTATAATGACTCTCCTCGTTGAAAACAGGACAATGTTCTCGAATCACCATTCGCACGCATTAAGATAGTTAAACAAATTACTTTTTACGCCATTTTCACAATCCTCCCAGCCTAAAGTGAAGCATCCTAGTTTGTACTTTTCGCGCAATAGTCCATACAATAGCATACGGATTTAATCAAAAGGACGACGACACAGCTAGCATTTTTTAAGTTTTATTAACCCCACCACAGGAATCGATGTTCATGGGCATGGTTGTATTGTAACACTATAAATTTGTATCGACACCTTTCATGAATTTATGGCAATTATTGAATGAATATATGTAGATGGGATAGTCTTTCTCGGAAAAATGAAACACCAATCGCCCCCCCTTGGGCTTTGAAGTAAATTTCAAAGAATATCAATATTCTACTCTTCAATTCATATACCACAACTACTCAGGGCATGGCTAATTAGCGTGAAGAGTGTAGTGACGGTAAGTTTAGAAAGTCTTTCACATATTTTGTAAGCACATTGTATTAC